ACGGGCAGAGCAGGAGAAGCAGGCGAAAGGTCGGCAAGGTGCTAATGAAATGGCCCTAGCCACCACGTTACTAGCTATGTCCCCTATCCCTTATCTTATGTTCATTTCGTTCATTTACAGCTATCTCTATCTCCCGAGCCTTCATCGAATCGCTCCTCCCAGCCGTACGCTGGCATGGGACCCCTCAGAAGGGGCATCGCCAAGGGTTCTAAGGCCGGCCCAATGGGATTCAAGGCCGCTCGAGGCATCTAAAGTGTGACGGACACCGATGGTCGGCACTAGAGGCCTTAGCAGGATGCCCAGAAGCAAAGCCGGCCGACCATCGCGCGATGTCCGAGTACAGACCTAGTGCCTCGTGGTGACCCACCAAGGGAGGCAGTGAGCCCCCAATCACCGATAGATGAGCTCAGGAACTATACGAGTGGCTTAGCTAGGAAGCCAAGGATCTCCCTTCTAGGGGACATGACCGGGCCACTGAACGATCGTAAACCCGGGGTTCTCACGGACTTACCCGCTAGTAGCAAGGGCGCGACAATCTTGGACACCGAGGCCATCATCGTAACAACCCATCCCAATGAGGGACCTAAGTCTTGGAGCACAACTCGCGAGCAGTGAGATTACAAACGAAAGTAATTTCATTTCATTAATTGGGAACGGCCCGATTACAATATACGGCGACAAAAACCACTTTTGCCCAGCATAGAGCCGGGGCGCCACCTGTCAGCACCAAGTGGAGACATATCCCAACAACTGACCCTCAACTCCACTCACTCTCCCACTCTCCCCATTTCCCTCATTCTTCTCTCTCTTTAGAGTGGAAAGAAAGGAAGGATAAAGCAAGAACTAGAGTGAGAAAGTGGAAAGGATGGAGAAGAGAAGGTGGATCCAACTTATTAAGGACAGCAAGAGCTGCTATGTATAAAGATCACGGACTTCAACCATCTCTCATCCCATGGTTAGTTCAAGAGCTCTCTCTTTCTACCATCTTGAGGTCAATCCCCAAACCCTAACCCAAGTCTTCTCTTGCATGGATGGATCCTGGGGATTGCTTGGTAAGAGACACCTCAAGGATGAGAATCAAGTATGTTGCAGCTCAATCTCTCTTCTCTATCGATGTTTCTCTTAGAATAGTGAGTCACTAGTTGTGCTAGCTAACCAAAGCCTTGACCCTAAGTATCCTAAGCCTAGCAGGTTACCTAAGCCACACTAGAGATGTCTAGCACATGCAAGTAAGCCACTACTAAGGATCTAGACATGAATCCCCAAGCCTTTACCCGAGAACCCAAGAGCATAGGTTCTGTCACCCGATTGACGGAGTGTCCGTCGGTAGGACGGAGTGTCCGTGGAACCAGAGATTTAGCCACCAACAGCCTAAATATCTTTTGGGGGACACAACGGAGTATCCAACAATTGATCGGAGTATTCGCTGAATTATAAAGACTCATAGCCAGAGAACCCGAGAGCACTTAGTTCCCACTAGATCGTCCGTCAGACACATTGGAGTATCCAATGAATTATATGCACCTAGCAACCCAGTAACTCGAGAGTACCCAAAACCCATCAGAGCGTCTGTGAACTACGCGGAGCATCCGCTAGAGCCGAATAGAGTCAACCACCATGGCATCCAGCACAACGGAGCGTCCGTCAGTAGGGCGAAGTATCTGACTACCACAGTGAATGTTAGAGTTGGTCAGCTAGTGCAGTCAATAGGTCACCAAGATTATGTTATATCCTATAGCCAGAGTCACAGTAGATGTCTCTTCCTAAATCCCAATCAGAATTCCTAGTTTCCTTATCTATCGTGCGATCATCTCCAATCATCGGTTTTCTCCTTTCAAGCTTGATTGTCCCGCATAGTGAGGACCGTGTGTGAGTCGCTGTTAGCTTGGAGTCATCAGGATCGGCAGCACTATCAGGCAGGCACCCCACTATTATAAACCCTACTTTGGATACTTATCAAGTTGCATTATGAGTTATGCATTACATGTAGTCTTGGATAATGATCACTGTTATACTACACCTAGAGTAGCTTAATAATCTGTAGAAGCCTCTCATCTAAACAATGTAAATGGGAACGCTTAATGCTTTTTGCTTAGTTGCTTGGGCAACGGTAGAAGTCAAGCATGAGAAGGGAACTCATACTCGCGCGTGTAGGATGCTACACCTGGAGAATTAAACTACTAAAACCAATGAGGGTACAACTTGACTTACCTAACTAACCTAGCTAAGTACTAATATCCCTAATATGGTAATCTTGATGATAACTTGGATATCTTGCTCATGCGAAGGGTAGGTCATCATGAGTGTGTGATCTCAGGCGACATAGCTCGTGGAGCAGTAAGGACCATGTATTGGGATACGTAAGGCCGAGTAACCACCCGTATAGACCACATGTCGCGGATGGGGTCAACAAGCCAAGTAACTAGTTGTGACCTGTTTATCCGTGAAACTGGCAAGGGGGGTGGCGTTGGTCGGGAATGTCCGGGACATTGTCCGGGCACTCGCTCGAACCTTTTATGTGACACTCGGGCCGGATTAGGAAAAGGTTGGAGAATGTGAGGCAACCCTTACTACTGGGCCTGGTGTATGGAGGTTAGTCCTATTTCTCCGTGTGGATATAGTTGTACACCTCTACAAAGTCTTGAAAGCCTGGAGTCCCTTGGGATGGAACTATAAGGTTGTTCTTTCTTTCTATACCCATGGTAGTATGAATGATGGACTATGAGCACCTTTGTTATAATGATAACTACCTTTAATTCTATGTTGAGCATAGCATGTCATACTCTTAATGAATATCATTGCTTTCCACACTTATACAAATGCTCGATAACTATCCTATGCATCCACCAAATATTATCTGTTAGAATTAAGTCCTGTGAGTATGCAATGTACTCACGGTGCAGCTGTTAAGTTCTTTTGCAGGAAGTCCGAGTTTCTCCCCGGATCTAGCTCCGGTGAAGACAACAGTTAGCAAACCTTGGAGCCGGCGTCTTCCAAGATGAGTTGCGTGTAACTCGACAAGTAGATGAGTGACAAGAGGGGCAACCCAGTTTAGCAACATAATTGTTCGGAGTATCAGACTCAGTGGTTATACACCTTCTAACTCTATTTTGTTATTAATAACACTTTGGGAAATAATGTTAGACCGAAGAGTGTATGTGATTAAGTTGTCTGGAATGCCTTGTATTGGGTATGTGTATATAACTCAACGCAAAGATCCTGAAGAGGAGTTATTGCGTGTGGTCCTGGGGGCCTCGGAGTTGTAAATTCAACAACCCCCGTTGACGTCGATATCGGTTCCTAATAGGATGGATATCGGGGCGCGACATTAAGCCTCGGGATCAATGGTTCCTAACCGAAGGGACCCCCCGACCGACCCCTCCAGGATCGCTCGGGGGCTATACCCATCGGGTCCGCTCGTGCGCACCCTCCGACGAGGAAACCTGACCGAGCCTGGGCACGGCGCGGCTCCCGCACAAGGCTTGGGGGCTTGCCCGGGCCTCAGGCTCCCGATCGACGACATGCTCGAGCTCGGGCCTTGGCTCCTGCTCAGCTTGCGATGCCAACCAAGGCCCGGGCGCAAGAAGACAAGCCCTGGGCCATCTAGACTCGGGGGCTCCCAGAAGACGTGCTCTGGGTGTGGCCTTGCCGCCCACTTCCGCGACAGGGTCACGCACGGGGCGTGACACACGAAGACAAGCTTCCCACGGCCTCTAGGGGCTAGCCGGCTCCCGGGCCCGCGTGTCAGCCCCTGGAGCCGACCTCCTTCGCCACCAAGAACACTCCAAAAGGTCCACCTGGGGGAGCCCGGTCCAAGCCGACACAACCTGACACGCAGAGTGTTAGAACAGAGCAGTCGAACGACGCCAAGGCTTCTTCGAATCCATGACACATCCATAGTCTATAGAGCGCCCCTGCAAGACCTTCCTGGACTCCGACGCATGTAGACCATAGACTCATCTTCCCAAACCGCCATGTACCCGACCTATCTCGTTATATAAGGGATAAGGTCGGACCTATGGGGAGGAGGATCAATCCAAGACAGACCATTCCATTCCATCCGCTCCTGCTCAGCACCGAGAGCAGAGCAACCCAGAGAGGGGCACCGAGAGCTCCTCTACCGCATCTCGTCGATCTTCTTCCTCCTCTCCGATGAGAGGAAGACTCCACCGACGGTGAGGCAACCTTAGGATTAGCACCGAGCTAACCTCCTACCAAACCTCTCTCTCAACACTCTGTTGTAACCCTCGATTTTGGGTACTTTTGAGTATAAGGATCATCAACTACTAGACGTAGGGCTTCGATTGGCTCGAACCAGGATAAACCGTTATTCCTCTCTGTGATTCTTGTGTTCTTGAGTCCACCCGAGCCACCGGAGATCCGTACTCTGACACCGATTCGAACAACTATGCTTGCCACGGTTCCGACCCCGCGACACATGCCTCAACTGGTTTAACCCAAAATGCAGAAATATGAGTTTTAACTATTTTATTTAATGGCACCTGATACGATTCGGATTTGTGTCTCTAATATACCATATTAAGTTGCATGCTCTGATTAGTTCAATCTAAATCTTGCTAATCATCAATAGCATGTTTTTTTTTTTTTTTACTCGCTTATGCATAAATCTGATTTCAAACTCCACCTTTTCTACAAAAATCTCCACATAATGAGTGATGCTTGCTAATCTCGTGTGATTTGCTGGTTCCTGTTTGCTTATGCATGGAGAGTTCTAGACAAAGAAGGGAGCAACATATACACGGATCTCCAGGAAAATCATAGTAAATATCACACCGTTTTTCACATAAAACAATTTACTACCACCCATCCACAAATATAAAAAATTTCCGAGATTTTTAGGATGCATTGAGTACGAACAGAATATGCTTTCTGGGGTATAAAGGAATTAATATAATTACAGAGCCTGCTTATATGTATGCTAGCATGTAATTTAACATCCTACACAAATATTTGACGCAAGAGTATCCTGATTTTTAATTTTACAGTGTGCTGTTGCCTTTCTTCTGAAGCCTTGCCCGTCGCTCATCTACCAGCATCTGGGCGAAAAGGATCAGCTCTTGCTCATTGGTGCCCCTGTGTCCATCTGGTTCGTTCTTGCCGGTCTCAATGTTCACCTTGCACACCGGCTTCTTCAGCAGCGCCTTGCCGACGTCGACGAGGCGGTTCAGGTTCTCCCTAGTAGACACGTCGACAGACGACGTTTCGCCCGTGAGCTCGTCGTCCTGGATGCGGAGGTAGCTCTTGCTGCAGTGCAGGGCCTGGAAGAGCACGGAGGCGTGGATGTCGACGAGGTCGGAGCTGGCCTGGCTGAAGCTGTCGATGATGGGCGTGGCGCCCTTGTTGTAGAGCCACCCGAGGATGCCCCACTTGCTGCACTGCACGGCGTCGAACTTCTCCTCCACCTTGGCGGAGCCGGTGCCCAGGGACAGCACCATGAACTTGCCGTAGTCCGCGGGCTTGATCGGGAAGAAGTCCTGGTTGCCCAGCAGGATCTGCTTGCTCACGTGCGTCATCGCCAGCAGCGTCTGCAAAATTTGTCAAGCAGTTTCGTCAGCGTCACGATTCATAGAAGTCAACAACCATGCACAAAATTTAAACAATGCAAACTTCTTCGGTCACTCACCGGATTGTTTGCGGCGACCCCTCCGTCGATGAGGTTGAAGGCCCGGGGCTTGCCGTCCTTGTCTTTGGTCTCGAACTGGTGCCCTGGGAGGTACGTCGGCGCGGCGGACGTGCTGATGCACACGTCCGAGAGCAGAGCGTCCTTGGAGACATCGCTCATGGCCTGCGTGAATTGATCACCGGAGCGTTAGCAGTTAGCACGGTGAGAGGTCCAACCATGCTCAACGATTGTACTCCTATCCTATCTCAGATGTATTTCTGCGTGGACGTACGTCGTATCTGGAGAAGACAGTGGGCTGGAGGAGCTTGATGTCGAAGGTGGGGATGACGATGTTCTGGAGCGCCTGGCTGACTCTCGTCTCGCCGAGGAGCTCCCGGACGATGGAGTGCAGGTACTTGCCGTCGTACTTGGGCCCGGCCATGCTCTTGAACAGTCCAAGAGGACCGCCGCTGCACAACACACAAGACGATCGATCCAATCAACCATGTGCACCCGACCGGTTGGGCTGATGCATAACGCGCGTGTCACTTGACGACCTGAAGGCTAGTAAGTATGACTTGTTGACTTGTATGGGTTCGAGCATGCAAAGGTTGGATGGATCCTCACCTGCCGGACGGGAAGATCTTGGGGCAGTGCTCGAGGTAGAAGTCGTTGATTTCCTTGGCGGCAAACAGCGGACGACCGTCCTTGTTCGGCGCCGTGAGCATGGCGGTCACCAGCCCGCCGGTGCTCGTCCCGGCGATCACGTCGAAGTAGTCCGCGAGCCTCGCGTCTGGCCCGTCGAGCTCCTGCAGTGTCACAAAAATACATGGTTAGACTTAGAGCTGGCCGGTGCATCATCAGAGATAGATGCCGGTAGTCTGGTACTACATGCTTGCACATGCCTGCCTGCTTCCCATGCATATGCAACTTGTATGAATAATCCTGACCTGCAGCTTTTCCTCGAGGAAGCCGAGGATGGTGCCTGGGATGATCCCGCGCACGCCACCGCCGTCGATGCTCAGCACGGTGACGATGCTCCCGTAGGCCGGTGGAGGCGACTTGGGCGTGCCCAGCGTCGAGGCGCCGCGGCTGAGCGCCCGCTGCGCAACCGGGTTCAGCGTCAGGCCGGAGCCGGAGGCGGACCCGTTGGTGCCGAGCTCCACAGCATACACTGGCGCCATGGATGACACGACGTCACTCAATCACCGACTGACGGACAATCACACCAGACCTTTGTAGCTGGAGCCCCGGTCGAGTACGCGCAGCGCCGCTAAACAAGGACTCGATCGGGAGGTGACGGATGAGATGCTTACAGAAAGGCTCGTCTGTCTTGTTGCCTTTGGCTGTTGATCGAGCTTCGTGCTGTGTGTAGCAATAGCTGGGTCGATGCAGGAGAATTTATAACCGATCTGCAGGAGCAGGGTTAAACGTCAAAGAATGGGGCAACACGTACGGGGGGTTTACTGAATAAAAAATGGTGATTTCGTCAGCAGATACTGGGAGGTCGAAGCTCGTGAGTCCCCAGGGATGGAAAGGGATGACGAGTCAGAAAGCTGCATTGAACAAATCAAACAGGTGAGCCGATCAGCCGAGCACGTACGCGGGCCCGGGAAGATCCTCTCCGGTCGCCGTCGGCCCGTCGCCGTGCTGATAATGGGCTGTGATCCGGCCCCAACCCCACTCCAATCCTATGGTGATTAATTATTACACCCAGCCCGATCCTAGCACCTATTGATTTGTTTCAGCTCAGTTCAATCCAACCCTACACGTCGCACCATCCTAATCCAGCCCCAGCCCTTTTTGAATCCTCGGGCCGGACCCTAAATGCAATCGGAGGGCTCTCACAAGCAAGCACATGTTAATGCAATGAGTACAAGGCCCTGATTAACCAAATCACGAGCACGGCCACTAGCACTGATATGTTAATTTAATTTAAAAAGATGAGAAATAATAAAAAAATAACATGTAGCCGGATCCAAGTTTCTCCATCCATCTGCTACATATGTCCGTGCAAATTGATTTAATTCAAGAAAATAAGAAATAATGTCATGCAAATATGTATTCAGAATATGCAGTGAAACACAGTGTACAGCTGCAGATCAATTTCAGAATACGCAGTGAAACACACTGTACAGCTGCAGATCAATTTCAGAATACGCAGTGAAACACACTGTACAGCTGCAGATCAATTTCAACATTTCTAGTGAACCAACAGCTAGGGCACTAACCTTCTCCATAATACCTATATCACAAGATTATAAGTGCAGTGAGCACAGCTCAAGCAAGCTATTTCTGCTGTACACTGAAACAATTGTATAGAAAAAAGCATAGAACTAAAACAACTGTACAGTTTATACAGCTAGCAATACAACTAAAGCAAAATCTGGAATTGATGTTGCAGCATATCACAAGTACAAGTTTATACAATACTATTGTAATGTAATTTTTAGAAAACAGAAAGTCCTATTTACTAGATGAAACAAGCAATAAAGAAAATCACACCACAAATCTCTTTACACGGTGTCGAACAGGTTCATCAAATAAAATCTGCCCTACAGAGCATGGTTTCATTTTAACTGGACTTGCAAGTTCCTCTGAACCTGAGTTCACTTACTAGCCGTGTACTAACTGATGATCATGTGGCAATGTTCAAAGGTTATGAAAGAAAAGCTATATTGTCTGGTAAAGCGGCGAGTGCAGTGTACTGGCAGGTCGAAGCTCGTGAGTCCCCAGGGATGGATAGGGATGACGAGTCAGAAAGCTGCATTGAACAAATCAAACAGGTGAGCCGATCAGCCGAGCACGTACGCGGGGCCAGGGAAGATCCTCTCCGGTCGCCGTCGGCCCGTCGCCGTGTGGCTGTGGCCTGGCGTGACGACGACGATCGCAGGATCGGGTCAAGGTCGCGCACGAGTGGAAACCGCGATATTTTTTGGGCTTGCTCGTTGGAAAAGTCCAGTTCCGCTCCGCACTTCCGCTTCGGCGTGATGGGCATGCATGGGCCGGAAAACCTATTTTCCACAGCAGCCCATCCATTCGACCGGCGTGGATTCTCTAACGTGAGGAACAAAAGTCACGGGTGACTTTCCTAATTGCCGATGCCGTTCATTTAGAATCCAACTGCTCTGGTGACTCTTCAGCTTTGACAGTGCCATGCCTGCTTAGCACAGACATAAAATGGTAGCCCAGTTCGGCAGTTCGCACACGGCACACGCGCGCGCGTATCGGTGTTCCGAGCGGCGAGGAATTCTACGCCGGGGAATCGGCGGGAAGCCTCGTGCCTTGTGTCGCTGCGCGTTGGGACGGATACTAGTTGTTTCAGATCGATCGATGATGACTAGTGTGACTGTTTGGCAGGAAAAAGAAAAAATGAAAGCTTGGCTGGCACCGCCCTACTCAACTCAGGGAAGAAAGGACGACAGGAACAGAAATGACAAGTGTTAAGTGCGAGTTCTACTTCTACACTCAATTTGCCGTGAGCTATTTTATCTTATCTTTACTCTTTCTAATTGGGTAAAAGGATCGTTGGAAGAAAGGACCGTGTTGATTTTCAAATTTTCTAGTCCACACGAGAGAAATCCTGAAGTTCTAGAGCATCCTATGAAATATTAAAAAAAAAATTGACCGCCTCTGTTATATATATATATATATATATATATATATATATATATATATATATAAAATGTTCCGGCGGTTTCCTGAATCTATATTAAATTATCCAATATTTTTCTATTGTGTGAAAAATATATATCAACTGTCCAGGTTTCGCACCGGAAGGACATTACTAAGTACTAAGGTTCGAAGCCAGCCATTGTCAACGTCGTTATGAGCCCCCTTATTTTGCTTAATTCGGCTGTCGTGCATGGTTGATGCACGCCTTGCCAGTTGCCTGCTTCATTCTTAGCCCAAAGTCTGTCCGTGGGCATTGCATTGTTTTATACAGAGAACTCTATCAACGCCCCTGCCCTTTTTCTACTACTCCGTACTAGATAGCGTGCCCGTGCCGTTGCTACGGGATAACTAACAATTTATACTAAAAACATACGGATCACACGATAAGATAACAATACTGTAAAAATTAAATATCAACATTAAAGTTACAGTTAATCAAAAAAGCAAAGTTTATGAAATCCTCTTGAGAAGCAGTGGCAAAGAAATGTACACAATACTTGAATCCTCGTGATAACCTTTGAAAAGGATCGAAGTTAGCAGGCATAATACATGTACACACATGTAATTAGATTGAAGTTAGGTAGGGTTTGGGTGCTCGGTTTCGCACAGCACGAAGGGAAGAGAAGGGATTGACACGCCTGATGGTGCTCCTTGCAGGACGGGAGGGAGGTGGAAGTGCGGCAGGAGCGGAGGTAAAGACACGAGCTGGATCGCGGGGGGGGGGGGGGGGGGGGGGACGGGCCCTCCCGCTTTTTTGCCAAGGTCTTCGTCACCAGTGAAGGGCCCGATGAAGATCTGGCGACGCAGATGCGGGCGAGCCGAATCAGGGACGCAGATATGGACACCGACGTGGATGCTGTTGGTTGAGGGCGGTCGGCAGAGGGGTGCTGCGGGTAGGATTGGAGGAGAGCAGGGAGGAGATCGCACGGGCGGGCGCGGGCGGCGGCGGCGCGGCCAGCTGCAAAAGACATGAAATGTGGCATTGCTGTGATTCTATTTAGCCAATTATTATCAAACACTAATACAGCTTCTTGAAGAAAAATTAAACAAGGTTATGACATGCATAATTGGAAAGAATGTATCAACGAAGCAACATAAGAAGCTTGCCACTCATGTAACCGAAGGTTGCTTATTTCTAACCATCAATAAATGAAAGGATAACCTACTTGTCATTATTTATCACAACATCAAACATAATTTAACAGTTATTTATGTCTGCATTACTTGTCGTAGAGCTTACTATAGCAGCAAACGATCACAAATTTATAATATTATTGTTCCAGATACTGCTAGGATTGCAACAAGAAATATGAAACACAGCATGAAGTTGATCAATGGCAGTGAAAAAAGATTAATTTTATGGAATTACATCCTTATATGAATGAATCCTATTGCGAGTTTCCAAGCACCAAGCAATGTCGAAGTAGAATACCTCCCTTGTACTACAGAAACCGTGTCAGGTTTCAAAAAACAAAAAGCCATCAGAATCAGCACAAGAACACACATTTATGAAAATGCACATAGATTCCATGTTACATCTAAGAGCCAGCCCTCTCTGTTCTACTCTTTGATCTTCATTACCTTCAGAAAACAACTAAGATTAAGAACTAGGGACGGCATAAGCACATCATGAAAAGAAAACATGTCAACATCATGATATACACAGATCTGAATATAATGAGAATCGTCTGATAAGTTACTACTGAAAACATCACTAACAAAGTTATAATTGACTGCATCTAAAGTTCAGGATGAGAATTCAAACATCATGTAGCTCCCTGATCTGTTGGCACGGAGGTCACCTATAGTTCAGAAAACTATAGTTCTTCACTACTGTATCAGTACGATGAATAATGTGCACCGGAAACAGTAAAGAACCAAGATGATCTATGATTTCCAAACCTGCTAGATGATCTTCTGTGTGACATTGGCCAAACTTGAGCCCTTGGGGTTGGGGTAGCCACTGATGCCTGTAGCATCGGGGATCTCGGCATGTCCAAAGTCCTACAGGAAGCACGTGGGCTCCAGCTCGGCAAAGAAGTTACAGTCCACGTCCAGCCCACCGCCACTGCTTGAAAGTTGCAAAAACAGAGAGAGTAGTAGCCCGCGACCGTCAAATCATGCGGCTCTGCTCATGTCTGCAATGGAGTCGTCTCCTCATGCAGGAGACATTGCGAGCAGCAGTACACTCGCTGAGCGAGGGGAGTCGATGCACGTGTTGATATTAGCGGCAAGTAAAAGTCAAAAAGACTAATTAATACCATTTACTTACATTACAAAGCATTAATATTATATATAAAAGGACCAGTAGTTACCTTCGTTGATCTAGTTTGTCAAGTCTTTAAATAGTGTGCGGCAACCGTGATTTTCATTGGGTTCCATGTACCTAAGAATGACTAAAACATAAAAAGACGAATCAGGTCCGAAGCATCTCGATATCTTAAGAAACTTTTCCAACCCTCAAACTTTAAGATATGCAGCATGCCTGTCTTTTAACTATTTTGGGTAG